GTGCTCCACGCCCGCTCGTTGTAGAGTCTTCTATCTTCTAGGTATGCAACCTCTAGTAAGTTCATTCATTTCTCCTCATGTCCATTCTCACCTACCATTGATGGGCAGCATCTCAGTTCACAGTTAAAGAATGCTAAACGGGATGATGCAGGCAGACAGCTGAGAATCTCCTTGGTGTACACCGAGTGAGCCAGTGAAATGGCATAATGTATGTGAAGTGCTTGACCAACATCTAGCATACAGCTGGCACTCAAGAGGACATTACCACATATTATGTTAATCATCATGATTATGAATCTATTTAAATATTCATGGCTGAGGGATTAAAGTCCAGCAGTAGCTCTGATGACTATTCTGAAAGTCCTTTTCCTGAGTGAGAGCAGCGGGCAGGCCTGTCCTCTGCTTTGCTGTTAAGACAGAGCTCCAGGGGACATTTTCTGACTGTGTTTCCTGGCGCATCTGGGTCTGTAGATGTTTTTCTGAAAAATACTGTGGAAGTGATGATCTCACAATGGAAAGGCCAGTCTTTAAATTTATAATAATAGTGCAGGACACAAAGCCTTGACCACATTTGTGGCACTGCTCAAATGTGTTGAATACATTCATATTATGCTGCCCATCTCTATGCAATCTAAGTATGTGAAGAGGTTTTTTCCACACTGTCAGACAAAGTCTGTACTCATCCAACAACTCTTCATCTTCCCAAACCTAGTCCTTGTTGACTGCCATTGTACCTGTTTCTACAAATGGGCCTGCTCAGTCCCACACAGGGGAAGCCATACAGTGCTTGTCTTCTGTGACTGGCTTATTTCACTTAGCACAGGTGCCTCAAAGTGCATTCCTGCTATACATGTCACAATGTGTCATTCTTCTGGGGGCTGACTGATATGCCACTGTGTGTATATACTTCCCCATCAGGAGCACTTGCTTGCTCTTATGTCCTGGTGAGCAGCACCACTGGGAACAGGATTTAGATGTTTATTTATAGGCGGGGTTTCTTTAGCACATGACATCTTAATCCCCAACCACTAGTAGAGCAAAATATCTTAAACCAGGTAATTTGCAAATAATAGAAATGTATTTCTCAACACTCTAGAGGCTAGATCTCTAAGATCAAGGTTCCCAAAGTCTCTGAGAAAGTTGCACATTCCATTGTGTGATAGTGAGTTGTACTGCAATGTCACAGGCAAAAGGTGATGAGTACCTTGTCCTTGAGTGGGAGAGGACAAAGGAAGGGCCAAGCAGGCTCCAGAAACCCTTCATCAGGGAACTAAAGGCAGTGACTGGCAACTCATGACCCAGGCACTTAAAAACTTACTACTATGAGGTTTAATACTTTGGGTATTAAGTTTCAATATGAAATTTGAAAGGACATAAACGTTAAAACCACAGCATATGGCAAGCTTATTTTTAATTACTTGAAGAACTGCCAAACTCCTTTCCATAGTGGCTGTTTTGTTTTAAATTCCCAACCAAACTCTGGCATATGGTAATTTTGCTTTTAATTACTTAAGGAGCTGCATACTGTCTTCCATAGTTCTCTGTGATATTCGCACTAACAATGATGTACAAGGACCCACATTCTTCTCTGCGTCTGTACCAACACGCAACACGTGCTATCTTGTGTTTATTTGTTATCTGTAGTAGCTGTACCACCGATGTTTTGTGTGGCAGTGGCGCTCTGTGGCTTTGCTTTTGGGTTTTCCAGTGATTATCAATGTTCTGCATCTATTCATATCACTTGCCTGCTTTTAACCCAGTCTTTGCTTTATATTATTGGGCTTCTGGGATTGTTCATGCATGCTGGAGGTTTCCATTGTCCACTGGTATGATTTCTTAAGTTTTCGCTCTTCCCACAAGCAGCCTTTTCACCCATGTGACTATATTCTTTGTTATACAGAGTGTAAGGTTATTTTTGAGAATATTATTTAATGCATGATATGACAAAGGAGATGGGAGATAATCTCTTAGGTTGGGACTGCCTGGTATCCACTGGAATCCTTCCTACCCAAAGCCCTTAACTTCAGTCTTCTCATGTTCTTTTTGTCATGTAATATAATGTGCTCATAAGTTAGAAGGGTTAGGAGCTAGTCATAGAGGAGTCATTATCCTGCCCCCACAGCCACTCACCAGCTAGTGAGTAGAGTATGATGGAATTCACATCATTCTTTCATTTTCAGGAAAAATTATAGTTCTCAGAATTCACGAACTCTAAAAGTCACAGAGACAATGAGTAAAATAAAATGACAGCACAGTAAGACCAAGTAGCACAGAGCACAGCGATTGGCTGTCCAGTGCCAGATTGTCAGCCCTAAAGACACACACAAGAAACATACACACTGAAGAGGTTATATTTAGGAATATATATGTATGTGAATATATATTATATACATATATATATTCTTACACAATACATACATGCATGAAATAACAATTAGAGAAATAAAAGAGGCCACGAATTTGAGAGTGGGGAGGGATATAAGGGAAGGCTTTGAGGAGGAGCGGGAAAGGAGAAATGATTATATTACACATCCTGCCCCTAAAGAAGGAACTACTCAAGACAAACAAATAAAAACAAACAAACAAAAAAAGTCTTGTATCTTGTATCCTTTTATTTACAGTTGCCTGGGACTTTTTGGTCAGGGAAACCAGGATTATGAGCCTTACGGCCACAAGGCGGCACTGTGGGACAGGCGCTCCACTCAGTGATGCCTCACTTGACTGGCAGAGAGAACTGTCTTCATGGAAACCCTGGGATCCTTCGCCACCCTTAAATATCAAATATGAATGGCACCAGCTTTTTGTTCACGAACAAAAATATTTTTCCAAAAAGGGAAGTTGCTTATGACAATTGTTGGTGCCTCTTCCTCAGTTGAAGCGAACATAATAAGTTTCCACGAAGTTTTCAGAGACGGATTACGTAAAATGACAAAAAATAAGCAGTGTCGTGCAGATGTGTGAACTGCACCCCTCCCCCACGCCCACCCCAGAAATGAGAAGACAGTGTGGGGAAGGCCGCTGACTACATGTAAAGGCAGCTCTAGCCAAAGCCATTTCAGTAAAAGCTAAGGTTCTTGGTCCCAGTAGAAAATGCACAGCAATGTCACTGTCACTCAGAGCACAGGAAGAGGAGAGGTGGAGCAAAGCCAGTGAAAGCCCCGTACATACTTAGTTGAGGTGGTCAGGATTTTGTAGTGCATATGGGGAAAAAAAAACAAAAGCAAAAACCAAGAATCTGGAAGGATGGACCAAAGTAGTTTTGTACTTAAAATGAAGATAGATCACAGAGACAAGAGATGAAAATACTGTTTTGCAAATTGTAGGTTTCATGCTTCAGAAAATCGAGGAATGAGGGATGCAGAGAAAACCAAATATGATGAGTCAAGCTGGGAGACCACACCTGGCTCTCACTCCATTTGCTGTTCTATAGAACCAAGACCTAGTCTGGCAGAGTTACCCCAGGTAGCAATTTCACTAGGTCTAAAACACAGTTACAGTTACTGAAAAAAAAAACTATATCTAAGAATATGTCTAAGATTTTTTTGTGAGTAAGGCAGGCATAATAAAATGAAAAATATTAATATTTGAGACACTTCTTTCTAGTACAACCAGTGCCATTTTTAGTATACTTTGCTATTTTTAAACATCAGGATTTATATGGTCTAAATCTGTGCAATGCATTATCAGCGATGGCTCTTTCCATGTCTCCCATTTCTAACCAAATTTCTCATGCAATTTTCTTCCATCCAAAGAAGACTGCAATGTATTAAATGAAGACACAGATATGAAAATCTGGCATTTCAGCTATTCTCAGTAAAAAGGAGGTTTCCTCAATAATATTTTATTTTGGAAAACAAAATATTTTTCATTGATATGTTATTTTTTGCCAATGAAACAACTTCAGTTAGTACTATTTAAAATAATAAACACACAACATTTTATCAGTTTTAATATCTCACATGGCAGATATTACCAGATGGAATGTGTGTGAAGTAAAGGTTCAGTGACATCTGTAACACTGAGAAGCTGTAAAGGGATCCTGAGACTAAAGGAAGCTGAGAGCTTTAATCCAGATAAGTTCCAAATGTGTTGTTTTGAAGGAGAACTGCCCTGCGAGCATCAGCTGTAAGAACATGTTTAACAGACTGATCAAGATGAATACACCCACAGAGAATTCTTGACAATAGCTGCACCTGAACATTTGCTTTCTCCAGTTTTCTCAGTCACTGCAGTTCAAGTAGAAGCCTAACTCTAAGACTCAGGAATCTCTTCCTGGTGTCTGTGACTACTACAACCACTCCAGGAATAGTTTTATAGGTATTACTGCTGAAATATGCTTTCAATATATGTACTCCCACTCATACTGCTTTCACCAACCTGACAACTGTCAATACAGTTCTGCCCATCACATTCTCTTGGCATCTTTGAGAGTTAAATCAATCAACAATCATTAATGAGGAAGGGCAGGGGTAGAAGATGTCAAGTTCCTTCAGTATAATTATCAACATTCTCTCCATCATCACCATTATCACTATGGTTAGTAACATCACCACCTCCATCACCATCACCATCACCATGACCACAATCTCTCATTACCAACATCATCAACACCACCATCACCATGGTTACCACCATCATTGCCACCACCAATATAATCAACATCATCACAATTATTGTCATCAACATTGCAACCATCATTACCATTATCATTACCATCATAATCGTCATCATTATCCAAATATGGCCAAATACTAATACTATGAATAGTACTACTAGGTTTTCATTTATATATAATGATTTGGTGATTCTATTTAGTCTAAGCAAATTTTTAGATGATAAATATTTATTATAGTATTTCTCATAATGTATTATCAAAGTATTAAAATATTAACACTAAATAAACTATATTGGAGCATGCTTTATATTTCAGAAAAGATAATTTAGATGTGGATTCAAACATAAGTTCTGTGTCTGGTCATTAGGTATAGAGCTCAGCTTACCTTATCAAGTTCATCTGAAATCGCAATACCTGGGATTCAAAGAGATTTACAAGACAATTTTAGAATCAATCTTTAATAAATTCATGCTACAAATAAAAAAATTCTAGTCATAAATCTAGTGCATTTCCTACTCAATTTTGTTCATTTCCATTGGCTCTTTAAAATACTAAGATATGTCCTTTCTACTTATGAAAGCAAATTAAGAATGAAAGTCAAGGATGACAGCCAGGACCAGCTAAGGTATCACATATAAAAGAAGGAGAGTGCAAACAAGCACATATCTCATGAAGGTCCTCAGAGTCACAGCCAACTTGCAAGACAATCATGGAGATGCCTGTCAGCTCCCTCCACCTTTTTTGTCTTAAATGATGTTTTTGTGTGTGTTTGTCATTTCCAGTAATTTCTTGGTAGGGTCTTTCCTAAATTCTAGAGCTCATTGCTGAAACATCTCTTCACTGAGCATAAGTCCTTTCAACTAACTCACATCAATATGTTTCTGTATAGATCATTTCCTGCTGCTATTTCAAACTCGCCCTTCCTGGTTTTGTTGTTTATTTATATTTGCCCTTTTTTTCATGCTATGATAGCGTCCCGTGTTAGGGTTAGGAAGAGTCTACTCGCCTGGACACTGGAGTAGATGTGGCCACCCCCCAGGTTTGGGACAGACAGCAGAAATAAGCTGGTGTCAAGTCTGAGGAGAAAGGATCAGGAGGCAAGAAAAGTCTAGAAGTCTAAAGTGCAAGGGAACAGATTGTCGGGATGGGATGTGAAGCTCAAGTTCAGTAGAGCCTGAAGGACAAGCCAGAAGCAACTGAGCCACCCAGGGAAGCAGAAAGAGTCCTCAGAGACAAAACACGAGTTAGAGAGTCAGAGTACCCAGCTTTTCCTCCTACAGAGACACAGAATGACCTGCAGAAGGTGTACACGGTGCTCCATCCGTTCCCAAAGAACCTACACTAGCCCAGCAAGTCAATCACACACAAGGCAGAACAGCAACTACTTCATCTCAGTCATTGGCACTATTAATTCTTTTGTAGATAAGACTGATAAGGCAGCATATCTAAGACTGCATTCCTCATGGCATATTCTGTGACATCCTTTGGATAAAAAATTATTGGTGAGGATCGGGAGATAGATTCATTGATAAAATGTTTGCCACACTAGTATGAAGACCTGATTGAAACTTCAGCACCTATGGAAAAAGCTAGATTGCACAGCTGTACTCAAAGTAATTGGAAAGATGAGTGAGGAGGATACTGGGGCTTGCTGGTCAGTCATTCTAGCCCACCAAATTGATGAGATCCAAATTCAATGAGAGACCTTATTTCAAAAACCAAGCAGAAAATCATGCAGAAAAGCATCTGATGTTGACTTCAGCCTCCAAAAACATGGGAATACACACACACACACACACACACACACACACACACACACACACACACACACAGAGAGAGAGAGAGAGAGAGATACACACACATAAACACACACATACACACAATATTGGTTATTAATAATTTATTTGTTGGAGCTGAAGCTACGGCTTATCAATGAAGAAGACAAGCTGCTTTTGCATAGAACTGAGTTTGGTCCCCAGCATCCACATGCTGGTTTACAACCATCTGTGATTTTATTTCCAGAGGATGAGCTGTCTCTTCCAGCCTCTGTGGGCACTAGGCACACCACACATGGATACTTGCATGGAAAACTTTATTCATGATCATAAAATAAAATAATTTGTCACTGCACTAAAAGACAGTCTAGCTACTTGTTTAGTGATACGGGTGATGACTCCAGCATAACACTGATTCTACAACACTGTACAGTGAAGGAGAAAAATCTATGGGAGCTGGTGTACCACAGTGAAGAATGTGTCGTCACCAGGAGGAGATGATAGATCAGACATCTCACAGCTTTCTGGGCAATTATAAATATTTATATAGGTCTAAAATATATAACACCTTAGTGAATGCTTAGTGTTTAAAGATACATAGTGTTACAAATGGTTACGGTAAATAATTCAAATTTTATGCAAATGAATGAACTCTGGGCATTTCACATGAACAGTATTATGGTCTACAACACATTTATAACCATTCCAGATTATAAAAGTTTTACATTTAATACAATTCTAGAGAAACATCCCTTTCCCACATGTATTCAAGATGAAGACTGAACACTTTAAACATAAATATTTAAAAGAATAAGTCCATATATGAGAAAGGGTAGACAGATGCTACAAAGTAAAATTCTCATTCAGAGTCACAACTCTTAGCTATCTGGAGTTAAACCACCTGTAGTTCAATTGCTTGGGATTTCTCAGTCTCTTGAGTTTTTCGACTTGCTGCTCAGATGCCTTGAACCTGAAGAAATAGATTTCTGATCCAATTTTTAGAAAGCTATTAGTTAATCTGTGAACTTCTTCAACACCTCAGATCTGTGAACCCATTATTCATAAAAATAACAGCAGTGCATCATTTACCTAGCTTATCTAAAATACAGACAATTACTACTGACAAGTCAGTTTAAAACACATTCCTATCATAGGGTGAGGGATGCTCTAGTGTTGTAGTGATGACTAGCACTGGGAGCTGCTTCCCAGGCTTGAGAAATGTTCATCAGTGGAGAAGAAAGGTAAGACAGATTTCAGTTGAAAAAGCAATGAGACTTGTCCTAAACTCAGAAAACTTGCTTGACAAACACACCTCATTTAACTATTACCAGTGTTTAGTCTGATGACCATTCTTAATGGAAATATAGATTATCTTATAGTCTTCACATGTACTTATTTTTATTACTAGTAAGTATAATTCTATTAGATATAATTCACTTGACTTTCTGTTTTCATTATCAAAACGCCTAGGGAATTTCTCGTTTAATTTTTAATCAAAGCTTACACTGATTAAACATAGTTGTATGAATTTCAATGAAACACTTTTCAGTGGAAGCAGGAAGCACTAGCCTTGATGGTGAACGGTCAGAAATTTTTCCCAGGGTCTAGAAGAATGCCCACAGCTCTTCTCTAAGAAGGGGTTGTAACTTCTGGGCTTTTCATCAGCCATTTAAAGCTCACAGAGACTGAGGATCAGCATTAAACCAAATTGCACAGGTTTGATACCTACAAATATGGGCTCATATTTAGAATTAATGAATTTAGAGCACTTAATGTGATAGATAACCAAAAAGCAGACACATGGAAAAGATACCACATGCATCACCTGGGAAACACTCTTGAACATTTTTCAGTTAAAGCCTCTTTAGACAGGTAACTTTTAGGGCAGAGAATTCCTGCTCCCTTGCTTGCTTGGTTTTGTTTCTGTGTTTTGAGACAGGGTCTTATATTGTAGCTGAGGCTGGCCTTGAACTTACAGCAATTCCGCCTGAGCCTTCTGTGTACTGCAGTTGCAGACATGTGCCACCACACCCAGCAGAACAGCGGGCGGGATTCATTTTTGATTGGTTAATCTTGTAATAGACTAAATTATAAAGATTTTTGCTTTATGAACTGTTTATAAAATTATACAATATATCTATCTGGTGTTGGATAATGCATACAAGAAAAAGATAGAAATACACATGTTATATATACATTATCTCTGAATATATGTGTCTCCATTGTACATTTTGGTAGCATTATAAATAGTATATAGTTGGAAGCTCTCTCTAAATCTCTCTCTCTGTCTCTCTCTCTCTCTGTCTCTCTCTCTCTGTCTCTCTCTGTCTCTCTCTCTCTCTCACACACACACCTAAAGGAAACCAAACCAAACCAAAGTGACACCCAACTTCACTTCAAACAACATTCCTTATGTTCTACTAACTGCTACCTTCTCTCAGATCTTCTCTTTTTAAAGAAAGCAACCAAAACAAACAAAGAAAATCCGGGTCTCAGATATCCCAGGAGACTAGCATCAAAATCAATATATAACTGAGGATGACCTTAAACTTCTGGGTCTCCTACATTCATCTTCCAAAGGCTGGGGTTGCAGGAAATCACCACAACTAACATTCAGGAATAACTTTTTACAGGAAAGCTGGCATGAGTCAACACTCTCCCCACCTCCTAACCACCTCCCATTTACTACATGATGGCTTCTGCTTTTGCTCTTCTTTGAAAACTATGTTTAGAAAAGTAGCATCATAGTTCATGATTATCAAATCAAACTGAGAACTTTTGTATTGTAAAAATTGGGTTTTTTATATTTCATGTTACCAAATCCACACATGTTTCTCACAGGAAGAGAAAAACAGAATGATTGCTATAGTTTGAATAGGAAGTGTCCCCTAAAGATGCACATGCTGAGTGCTTAATCCTGGACTGAAGGGAACTTCTTAGGGAATTGGTAAAATCTTTAGAAGATAGAGTCTAAAGAAAAGGGGTCACTAAGAGTGCACCTTTTGAGGTGCTATGGCCCCAAATATCTTCCTTGCTCTGTGTTTCTGTCAGCCTTGAGATGAAGAATCTCCTCTATCATATATTCCCAACTCAAGTGCACAGAGCCAACCGACAACAGAATGAACATTTCAAAACTGTGAGCTGTGGCAGACCCTGCCTCCCAAAGCTGTTTTGTCAGTTGACTTCTGAAGGAGGAAATAACACAGAGTAGAAAATGAGAAACTTTCATCCACTCCCAGACAGCTAATGAGAACAGTAGATGGATTCCTCTCCTAACATATTCAGATAAAGCACACAGATAAACTATGAGGCTCTCCACTGTGCACTAGTTAGAATGCTACCACAATAAACAATGGAGGCACAGTGTGGAAACTGAGCATATTACATGTGTATGTCTATCTTTTTGTGCAGACTTTATCTAACACTGGATACTTTCCTCCTTGGTTCTATAAACACATTCTGGATTTCATTCAACCTCTCTAAAGATTCATTCTCTACTTTCTTCATCAGATCATTTTACTACAGGGATTTTCAAATGTGTGTATGTGCCCTGACCTGTGAGTTTCCTTACCTATGCCTCAGTGATTCCCATATCTTTATTTGTAACTTCAACTCCACCCTAAATTGCCACCTAAGAAA